TGACTTTGGAAACCTGATTCTGCGCACTGGCAAGTGGTGACACGTGGGCACGGACAAGAGTACTGGGAAGATAAATGAAACCTTCCAACTCTATTTCAAAAGGTCGCCTGGCCAAGCCTCATTAGACTGCGCCTCTAGGCTCCATCTGCTAGCGTTTCGCATCTGCGGGGTCTCGGGACTCTCCTAGAGGATGTGAACATTGCAGAGCACTCCTAGGAAAGTCACAGAGATTAAGTCTGCTGCTCACAGATGCTCGCCCGTCTCTGTCCTTACATGCAATTTAGAAGCAATCAAGTCACAACCACTAGAGGAAACACAAATATTAAGGGCAAGTGAATTCTTTTTGCCTAAAGTCAAACCCACTTCAACGTTATCAGTTTAAAAGTCCGGTTCAAACCCAGCCCTTGTTGCGTTGGCAGACTGTTGTTAAGAAGGGGCAGACAGGGAGCGGGGGGAACAAGCCCCATAAAACAGCAAACTGGTGTGTGTACCATGCAAACTGGACCTTCTCCTTGCACCAGTTGGAGTCCTCTCTGCAATACAGCACAGGCTTCTTTTAGCTAAAAAATCATGTGCACCTGTTTCAAGTCATGGTATCTTTGAAGTCATCTTCTCGCTCCCATGAGTTTTCAACAGAGCCAAAACCCTGGATCCGAACACATCGGAAGTCTGGCGGCTGAAATCAAGCTGAGCTTCCTCCCTAAATCCCAACTATTCAGGTCTTGGGCTGCAATATCAAACCTGGTGCAGGCCCTTCTTTGTTTTCAAATCCAGAAATGAAGGTTTGGGAACTAGAAAATCCTTGGAGGAGTTCACAAAACCTTGAACTCTTCCAGATGGTCCTCGTGCTCTCAATGCGCCACAAAAGTTTGGGCATAATAGTTTCATTTTCAGTTTAGCTTTTCCCCTATTTTAGAGCTGGATCCAAAAGGAACCCATCAACCTCTCGGGAACACAATCAACTATTGTGAGTGCTACGCTGGATCTCATGAGGGAAAAACTAAGACAAGCATCAAGTGGGACAATGTTTCTCACACAGTGCTTTTATTTCCCCAGCAGATTGAATAGCGGGTAATCAAACACATTTCACCAGATTAATATTTACCAGGAATATATAAGAAGTTGCACATCTCCAGCATGATTTAATGCAGGATGGGAAATTGAAATGCACTTAAGTGAGTTAGAAGTCCTGCTGAAAGGCAATGATCCTGGCAACTCTGACTTACTTAGGTGCTTTTGAAATCCCATCCTTGAGCTATCAGCTTCCTTTAGGGATATGGTTAAAAGGAAGTGTGGGGCTTTGGGGTTTCCTTTTTGCAAGGTTTAAAGATCTGTGTATGATCTTTCTTCTCCTATTCTAACACTAACACCACCACACAAGACGGCAAGCTTTGGACTGGCAGGGGAAGGGTATCTTAATGAGATTGCACAGGGATCTGTCCAAATTGGTTCAGTTTAAGTTGTCTCCACTGAGCTCTGAGTCAGTGGGAAACTATTACCAACCCATAAAAGTAGTAGATTTTTTACGCGCGCACACACACACACACACACACACACACACACACGGCTACTGCATCCTTTCTACCTATCCTTGGGGTTCAGGCCGAGCTACATCTGATGATATTCTCTGTGCCTGTTTTGCCCGTTAACATCACAGGAAGTTGCATGATCTGTGCTGATTCCTGAGCTTTCTGGATTATTTTTGCACATATTAATTTCCTTTTAAGGAACCTACCAGCACATGAAAAAACTAAGTGAGAGCAAGGTTATCATCCTAGCCTGGGACAGTCAGCTTCTGTTTTGTGGGAGCAAATAATATTTGATCAACAATGACTTCCAGGTGAGAGTTGGGCCCTTCAGAGATTGAGCTCCCTGCCTTGCAGGCATGAATGATGGAAATTATTCATGCAGTCAGAGAATTATTTACAACTGGAAAAATGTCATAGGCTCAGTTAGGCTGAAAATATTGCTTGTTAGGTTCATTTCTGGGTAAACATCTGGATAAGCATCCTTTACTGCATCTCTTGCAAAAATGGGATAGACAATTTTAAGATACAAAGTTATAGAGTAGATTATAGAGACCCTATGAACTCCAGTGGATTAAGGGAAGATATTCAACAATATTGCCAAGCAAATTGAGTGGTAACTGTCCAATGAAAATTCCTGCATTCCTTTCAAATAGGATCCACTTTATCTATCTATCTATCTATCTATCTATCTATCTATCTATCTATCTATCTATCTATCTATCCATCCAGATTCTGCTCAAGGAAAATCTGTGTTTGCCCTGAATTGGAGAAGTATTTTAGCTAACAGGGATATTCAGCCTCAAATAGTATCATAGAAGTAAATGTAGCAGATTCATCATCCAGGGGAAGATGGAACAGCAATAATATTGCCCAAGTTGCCCACAGCAAATATCTATCTATCCAGATAGATAGATAGGTGTGTGTGTGTGTGTATGTACACACACACACACACAAACTGACCCTGTCTCCATTTGTTACTTTAAATTTTAGGTGGCCTATTTATTTGCATAGCTTTCACAAACAGTCCTCTTACCTTTACGTGAAGGTTTAAGCAGTTAATAAAAGAGAAAGACACAGTCAGTTATTTATTAATAAATGGTCAGCCAATTATCAAATATTATTAAGAGTCCAACAAAGGCAATAAGTGGTTTGCTATGTTCCCTTATAACCATCTATAACTCTTGCTTCTGTGCTTATTACCATTTCTAATGCATGTTAGTGAAGTGTGAAAGCATGCTCACAACATCTATTCATTATGTATAAACCATTCACAAAAGAAACTTTCATATAAAGCGAGGCCCCTCTAACATTTGGGCTGTTTTTCTAGGGAAATTTAAAAGCTTGTTTTTCTACTTAACCAGGAGCCAGCCATACATAAAATATAAAGACGCTGATTCAGAAGTAATTTTTGTCTTGCTTCAGGGACAACCTGAGAAATAAATAAGAGAAAGCACAACGGACCAGACCTTGCAATCCTGGTAGTGTCAAATTGAATATAAGTGCATAACTATTTCTACTCTTGGGTTAGAGCCCTTTATTTTCACCCCGTAGTCTGCGGATCCCATGGGAGTCCACAAACTATGTCTACAGGGTCTGTGAAAGATGATGATGATCAATCAAAAGTATGCAAACACCCACGCTTACAATTCAAAGGGGTCCACACCTCCATTCAAAATGTTTTAGGGGTCCGCAAATGAAAAAAGGTTGAAAACCCGGAAAGAGAGTTTTTGGCTCTGTGCAGTCGGTCACCGGACAAAAGTATCTCAGAGAAACATTTCATAGAGAAGTAAAGCTGGAAGGGACCGCAATGACACTGAACACAGAAGTGACCAGTGCTTTCCAGTACGCTTCCTACTGGTCAGCTCAGCACGGAGCAAAACAACCGGCAGAAAAAGCTGAATCCCATTTACAATCATTTGGGCTGTTAGTTTTCATGGGCTTGCCTATCAATGCACGTGTGTAGGTATACATCAGAGATGCTTACTCAGGTCAGCAGAACTGCTCCTCCCTAAGCCGTTGGCTCTGTACTGCTACCCCAAAAGAGATCCCCTTCTTTTCAGGGAGTGGGTCCTGTGCTTTCGAAACAAAAGGACCTGATTTCTGTCCTCACCGCTAACATAACTGTTCCAGGGTGACTGTGGACTAATTTAAGAAGTAATTTAACTTAGAATACCAGTCAGTCTGCCCTCTGCTATGATGAGATTCAATCATTCTTTTCAGAAGGACATCGCAATTTGTGGCCTTATTATTACAGCCCATTCAAATCACCATCGTTAATGTGAGAGATCATCACTCACTAAAGCGTGAACCTGGAGAAAACAAAAGGACCTGATTTCTTAGACCCCAGGGCAGGCGCAGCCAGGCCAAGGGTCAGGGAGGATCTAGTCAGGGAACGTCTGGAAGGACTGGACTTATTTAAATCAGCTGGTCTGGACGATCTCCACCCCCGAGTGCTGAGGGAATTGGCTGCAGTCATTGCAGGACCCCTGGCACGGCTGTACGAGCACTCGTGGTGCTCTGGTGTGATGCCAGAGGACTGGAAGAGGGCCAACGTGGTTCCCATCTTCAAAAAGGGGAGGAAGGAGGACCCGGGGAACTATAGGCCAGTCAGTCTTACCTCGATCCTGGGCAAGCTTTTTGAGAGAATTATCCTGGTGCATGTCCACGAGGGGCTGGGGGGGGAGACTATGCTCAGGGGCAACCAACATGGGTTCATTAGGGGCAGGTCCTGTCAGACCAACCTGGCGGCCTTCTACGACCAGGTCACCAAATCCTTAGGCGCAGGGGTAGCAGTGGACATCGTCTTCCTGCACTTTTGGAAGGCCTTCGACACTGTCTCTCACCCCGTTCTCATTAAGAAACTGGGGGGCTGTGGTGTCGATACCCACACAGTCAGATGTGTCACCAACTGGCTGGAGGGCCGAACCCAGAGAGTGGTGGTGGACAGGTCATTTTCA